CGTGGTGTTTTTCGCAGGCCAGAGTTTAGCTATTATTTTATCTCTAAATCGCGAAGCAATGAAGTCAATTTCGGACCCATTTTAAAGGGAAAAGCCTCTTGTTTAAATGTAGAAAGTTTCGATTTTCAGTCATCATCAGGCAATTTTAAAACAATTTTCAAATTTGGATATTTAAGCAGATATTTAGTTAGAATTTATTATTTTATTAGAAATTTATTTACGCAGGAACATGCAAAGCTAGCGAGTCACTTGTATCACATTCGTAGGGTAAAGTCTGCTCAAGTGGAAAAAGTTTAGATTTTGAATTATCGTCAGGGAATTTCGGCATTTTATTGTCTTTTGATCGAAAAATGGCACTTTAAGATTCATTCGAATAAAAATCCATTTTGCTGTTATTGCTTACTCGATTGTTGGATTTCCATTATGTTGGAGTCCCGCTTGTAGAACATCATGCAAACGTATCCACTATCGCTGCAAGTAATAAAGAGCTTGAAGTAGAAACGTACATAAAAACGCCGAATAAACTCCTTACCATCCTGCAGTAACATGCGCGACTATTTGAACCTGCTTATTATCCAGCTGCTGCAATATCCCGTGACAAACCAGCCGCATCTCAGAATTCTGCTTCTGATCTTCCGATTCAAATCCTGCAACAACAGTAAAACGTCCAAGCTACTACTAAATTGTTTCTGGGCTGATCTCACCTAGATCCTGGAAGGCAAACTGAGGCTGAGCGAAATTCTGATGAATTCTGATCGGTCTGGTCGTTTCATCGTCCAGGATTTTCAGCGTGGCGTTTTTCTGAGCAAACTTGAACGTCTTGTGATGGTCCAAACTGACCCAGGTGTGATGAGTGGTGATCCACTCAGGAAATCTGCATCGTTTATGTTGGTCGTCAACTGCAACAACCATCATAAAATTTTACATCAATGAACACGTTTCTTCACTGCCTACCGATTGTTAGCTTCATCGTGCGACTTCCTTCAGTGGGGCTTTGCAAGCCCGAACATGTCGCATCTCCGGACTGCGCTATCGAATAGACAATCTTCCCATCTTCCTTGCCCTTTTGGTAGATGAAGCATCGGTATTGATCTTCATCCGATGTCAAGCTGCGTCGGTTGCCTTGCGAAATTTTTCCGATCAGATACTTGGTGGATCCTTCCTTCCAGGTTGCCAAGCAGATCAGTTCTTCCACTGTTCAAAGATTTGCTTATTAATGGTACCTGAAGGCGCATCTTCGGGAATATTTACCGTTGCTTTCAGAACTGGGCACATCTGGACATGCTTGGTATTTTAGCACTAATCGAGAGTCATCAGTACAACTCTCCGCTCTGCTTGGAGGGTTGCTACAGTCACCGGTCCCTCTATTGTATCTAGAATTTACATCAGTTTGATTTGGGGAAGAGCATAGAAGGTGTTGCTTATTGATGTGAGAGTTTAATTGAAAATTCAGAGTAATTCGCTGTATAGAGGGAGACTCAAGCTTCCGAAATTGTTTTGAAGTGATTGACAAAATAAACCAAATTTGCCTCAACTTTGGCACCGATAATTTCTGACTGGTTTGAGCGATTTCATTCATGTTTGAAACCTTATTTAGTGCAATTCTTTTTCTATCAGTGGGTGATTTTTGCAAAAATTACGTAATTCAGATAGAGTTCCAACGGGGCGGAATATAGCACAATGTCACATTTTTAAAAGTTTAACATGCTTAAAGTTGAACCAAATTTTGCTTTTTATTTCAACAGCAGAGCAACTATAAAACTCATGTTGAAACGATTTCTGAATTCTTCGCCTATCCCTTTTATTTACAGGGTGAACGCAAAAAATCTACTTTAAAGTTTTGCAGTGATAACATTTTGACCAATTTTCGAAATGTACAGCTCAACTTGAAGGTAAAATTTCATWTTTGATTTAAWACAAAAGTTCAATTTACAGGGTGTGGAATGAATAAGTGGCTTATTTACTCACTTTTAGTGCTACCCTGTATATAAAATGTTTGATTTATTTCGATTATGAAGTTTTAGCTTCAACATGAGCTCTATATTTTGAAAATCGCTCCAAGAGAAAAAATGCTATGACTGCGAGACCAAAAAGTTGACTTTTTTAGATCGCCCTGTAAATAAACAAGATAGGCCAAATAAGTATACAAAATCTGTTTCCCGATATGAGCTCTATTTTTATGCCTGTTATGTTGAAATCCTAACAAAAGTTTTTTATTCTACTCGGTGCCTGCCCAACTTTTAACAAAATTTACTTTTTTCTTATTTTCCACCCTGTAAAAGGTTTATATAAAGTTCGTAATTTTCGTCAAAAATAGGGGACGATCGGAAAATAATTGGACTAGATAACGCATCAAACAGAAATGGCTCGAGTCAGTCACAATTTATCAGGGTAAGGAAAATTGCCCAGTTTATACTTGAAAAATTGCATAACGTGCATTCGTTATTTCTTTTGAAAATAACTCGAAGAATCTGGCAGATTCGAAAAAATTACAAAACACTAGAAACTTTCTAAATTGAACAAAGAATTACAAAAACAGCTCGCTAGATTTCAGGGGTGCACTACAAAAAAATATTCCGCTCTGCATTCTTAGATTGCAACGAGTAATCGACACTCCAAACTTGAGTTAAATCGCTCAAAAACTGTAAGAATTGAAATCGAAAAACCAAAAAAAAAAATATTTTTATCATTTACTGCCTTCGATTTATTTACATGCAAAACGTGTTAAACCTATTAAAACTAGCTTCAATTGTGGAAAATGTGTTTCCCTTACCCAAATGTGAATGGCGCGCTTTTAAATGGGCAATCGAGAGGTTTCACTTCGGGATATTTGCGAAACATACTGTACAGTGCAGCATCTCCAACGATTCTTGAGCAAATCTCAGCTAGCGAGTCCTTGGTTTCACAGTAGGCTAAAAATACAAAGTGTTTTAATCATTAATTGAATGTTAAATTTCAAAAAACCTGTTCTAAACGAAGCAATTGAGCTTTTGTCTACTCACTTTCTTTATATTGAAGTACACTTGAATGTTTCTCATGTAGCACTAAGCATCTGTAGCAATCCTCGGATCTAGAACAAAATGCAGTTTTTTTCGGGATCAACAAATTTACAGTAAATCTAGATCGGCCTGATGTTTCTCCTTTCAACAGCTTGCTGTACATCAGTGAAGATAAATCGGGCAAAACAGAATTTAAGCCGGTTCCTGCTTTTTTCGCAGTTTCAATTTCCCATATGAACATCGATGGATGCAGCAAACGTCGAAAGGATAACTTGATGGCTAATATCATGGATTTTGTATGTTTTGGTTGGAAATAAAAAAAATAGTATGGGAAACGTAAAAAATAGTAATAAACAGAAGGTACACGCTTCGTAAGCAAATGTATTAGCAATTTAAAAGTGCGCATAATTTGTCCATTAGGATACTGATGAGATGACTTATATAGATTTGGTCTCATATACATATAATGTGGTCATTCGAGCCGGATACGATTCAACAACAAACAAATTTTTGTTAAATTGCGGTTCATAATTTTTTTTGAACTATCAGCCTAATAAAATTTAAAAACAACCTCTATTCTGAATCCAAAGCTAACACAAAAATAAAATTATACGAAATAAATTGGGAAAAAATTACCGCGGAAAATATAAATATTTACAAAGCAGATTAATAAAGTACAAAATTGCATTTTTTTGTGATTCAAAACAGTAGTTTGATTTAGAAGATCGAATCGTCCCAAAAGTTATGTTTTCCAAAGCTTTTGAAACCTTCCATATTGTCAAAGCTCACATTTGAAAATAGTTCAAGACTCAAAGTAGATAGAGGAAGCGTAACTTTTCATGCGTTTTGAGTAGAAGCCGAAATATTCCAATACCCGACTGGTAACATAACTGGATTTTTGCAATTTCACGTTATTATGACGTGAATACATGGAAGCGAGATAACGTTGTCGCGGTATTTTCCCGGCTGGCAAAAGGGGAAAGAAACTCGAATAATAATTGTAAGGGAGCAGCTCCATCTTGCCGCGGGCCCTAAAGGAAATTAAATGGCTTTTAGTGAAATGAACACACACATACATATAGCGGCTTTGTAAACATGGCAAAAAGCATGATATAAACATAAGAGGCCTGGCACGAAACTCAAAACTTTATGCCTGCCAAAATAATAGAAAATTACTTGCTGATGTTAACTTTGCACTCAAAAAATCCTGGATCTCTTTACTTTATTTATGAAATCTGAGCAGTGTGAGTTTGTTTTTGTTATTGCGAGTTCTACAAGCAGTGAAAGTAGATACTTAAAATCTCTGGAAATTGGAATAATTTCTCTTGGAACATTGAAAAACGCTTCTGCTACCAACTTTTCTTTCTGAATCGACCTGTGTGTGTTCTCAAATGTTGAACTTCTACAACTTGCCGAAATCTTGCTAAAATCAGTTATTTTCTTCTAAAGTTATTAATACGAAAATTATACTTAAACACCTTCTGCTTTGCAGGCGCTTACGCACGCTACTTAAGAAACCACACAACACTCTGCCAACTAGGCGAATAAATCAGATAGAATAAGTGTAAGATAAAATAGTAAAAGCCGGTACTTACTTGTCATAAACCAGATATTTATCGCCCTGTTCCTCATAACATTCCCCTTTAGACTCGATGTGGGTATTGTTGATAAGGATCAGCCCCTGGATTCCGCTTTGAAACCAACGGCCCTGCCAGTTTTGCTTGAATTGGCATCGAGCTGAAACAAACAAGCGTTTTTTTGAAAAAAAAACAAGAAAATACTTCAGAAAACATATAAAAATAAATACAATAAATCTAGGTTTTAATGTATTTTTTGTGCCGAACCCTTCGGACACGACATTGCATTTAAAAAGACAAATGTACGTAAATTAGCCAAAACCCATATTAACCCAAGCAATAGAAACAACTATAGATTACATGTACTTTTCTGCTTCTGTGCGTTACTTTAAGGCAATAATTAACTTAACTACAAGCAAAGGAAAAGAACAAGGGCCATTTCCATTCAACATTATATTGCTATTTTCGTTTACCCAACTTGCGTTATACACGATGGTGTAATGTAAAATTTAATAGAACTCCTTTTAAGCAAAGTAGCGCAGTTAAGCAGCATATATTTATATTCCTAGCAAATTTGTGCAGTTTATGCACGATTTTTGAACATTTTTCTGCTTAAATCTAGGATAAGATAATTTAAAAAAACATCCAATTCTACTCAACTCGTTATTTATAGTTATGTAAAATTGACGTTGCCTTTTAAATGGCTCTTCACCTAGAACAAAAGAAATATGAACAACAAAATGAAAATATTAATATTAAAACCGTTGATGTCGAGGTAGTTTCAAATTAAAATCGAATTGTAAATGAACTGCAAAACACTAGGAGAAAAACCAATTTGAAATGTTTAAAATAGAAGCGCTCTATTGCTGAAGCTGTCCGTATTATTTGTAAATAATTACTGGAAGAGTTACATTTAATATTTTAACGTTTTGTTATAATTTATTTTAATTAACGCATACAAACAGCGCTTCCCACTATGGGCCTACATCTGGTTACATAAACGAATTAATACAGCTTTGTATAAACATTGAAATATTTAATTACACTTTGATCGACTTTGTGGCAATTTAATTCAGTTTTACTGCGATTTTTTGGATTAGTGAAAATTTTAGATTTCACATTATATTTCGTTGTTACAGCGAAGCTTCAAATATATATTTGTCAAATGGTTTGATGAATTTTTCAATCTACTTTCGAACTAAGCTTTGTATATAGTTTTATATTTTTTATTGACTTATACATATACTTTTATTGACGAATTTATTCAATTTACGTTCAAAACATTGCCTCCTATTGCCAATGGTACCTTAGGCCTTTGTTTGGAGAGAAGAAGGGACTATGCCCATAAAATGATCCAAACTTTCCAGCAAAACGTTCCATCAACTATAAACCCTTTCATACCTGGTTTAACGTTGCTTAATTATAATTATTTTTAGTAGATCTTTTAGCTCTCCTCAAGGAGGGATATAAAACCACACGTTTCTAGAAGGGTCGGTTTTATCCCAGACGACACTGTTGTCATGTTTTTGATCACAAAGTCCTATTTAAGACAACTGGCTGGAGTTTGATCCCAAATTCCAGCAAACTGGTCAGGCCGTTCCCTATGAAATTTCTGGCATTTCTTTGCGGGTAGTGAGCATTTTTTGAGTGTGTTAATTGTTAATAAAATTTCCTGATTATCGGCAACAGCGGCGGATAAAATATGGTAATTTATTAAGGAAAAACACCTCGGTTTAACGCGCAGGTAATAAGGACCGAAGGGAAAACTCCAAGAAGTTTACCTTAATGTACACTTAATGTAATTTATTGTTTGGGATACTTCGGAACCCCACGAGTCGGGTCGCACTTTATTTGATTATGTTAATTCAAGAGGGAAGGGTTGAAATTCTTTCCTAATTTCATCCCCTAATTGGTTAAGCATGAAATATTAACAATGCTGTTCAAATACCGCTCAGTATTAATTATAGCCAATTGATTCAATTGTACATAGATTAAATGTACCATAATGCTACTTAAATCACTGGAATGTGAAACATTCAAAACACACCTACCCTTTATAAATATTAAAACAGGCAACAATTTTGAAACTGAAATTTCTACGTACAACCGGGTCACGCTAATGCATTATTGATAAAACGTCTTTTCAACGAAAATAGTTTTGTCTGTAAAAGCCAAAGCGGCAAATCGTTCATTTTTATTTATTTCGGTAATTCAATATTCAGTTACCATCATTTCATATTTACAGATGGTGAGGATAATCAAGGAACTTGCAAGCCAATGTAAATGGATCGACAGCCAACACGCACTTTGTTAGTTAGAGGGTAAGTTTCTTCGTGCAACTTTTATTATTTTAGTTGGAGTTGTTTGAATGTCTAAATATTAGGAAGATTATAGGTTGAATTAAAAATATTTCGACTGGTTGCTTTTGAATTTTGCGCTTTGTTTCGAATCAAATGCCATAGTTCACAGATCCGAAAAGGTCTGCAAATTTCATGAGCCAGAGTATATTGATTGAAGGCTAAAAGCCCCATAAAACATAGTTAAAGTTTCACATAAATGTGTCGGTAATGCCTTTTAACTATTCTCAAAAAGAAAAATTATGCTTTCTCCTGACGTTTCGCAAACAGGAGTGGCCGGCATCTTCAGAAGTGATTTGTCCGAAAATTTAACCCAACTGTTTGTCCGTCAAAGAAACGTTTTAGAATGCGCTGGATCTAAACTTATTGTGATTTTTTATTTATTTCACTGTGATTCGCACTTATAACTTAACTTCTTAGAACTGTTGCTGCTTTTCTATTAGTTTTAATGGTTTTACGCCATTCTAAGTCGATGAATGAATATTACTTCAATTTTCAATTTCACACGTTTCAAATTTTACCAATTATGTACTACTTTACTAATTAATTTTGGTAAATAAATTGGGACCATTGAAAAAATTGTATCTATTTTCGTTTTTATCTAGTTTTTTTCCAATCTGGTTTATCATTTTCCTATTTGCCTATTTTTCTGTCAAGGTGTTCTTGCTTTGCATTTTGGCGCTTTACCTTCCCTTGTTTTTTTCCTCACTTCGTTAGTTTTGCGTTGTTTATCGATATATTGGTCGTGGACTTTTTCAGGATTTTATGTCGTTTTATTTGGTTACTTTCTAAACGTTTTATTGACTTAATATCAGAATTGTAATGGCTAATGTGAATATTAATCGTCACGAGATAAATAAAACTTCAAGGTATTTTGCACTTTTTCCAAACACTTATTTTAGTGTCCGCTAACAATGTGTTTTTCAGTTCAAATTGCTGCATGTAACAAAGCGAAAATAAGCATAAATGTATCATAAAAACGTTTTAACATAAGAAATAATTTATCGTCTACTAGTTTCGAAGAAATTTTGAGAATTAAGTAACAAAAACGTATTATAATTATGTATTTTTAATTTCTCTTAGTTTATAAATGATGCCATAATTATATTGCAAAATATAGTCGATTTAACGACAATAATTTTGCCTTTTAGATTTTGCACGCTAAATAGACAAACTGTATTGAAAATTATTGCAACTCGCCGTAGTTGTGGGTGTAAATTTGCCACGGTTGAAATCGATGAAATTATTTTACACATACATGTATATACAAATAATTGAATATATATGATAAATATACAAATTAATTAAATTATGGCCATGGACAGTGTTTCCAATAATTTCCATTTATGAAACTAAAACCGCTAACAAATCGATCTGTATCCATTTAAAATGCTCAACAAAAAAAAATTACACCAAATTTGCCTTAACTTTGCAACTGGGTAAATTTCGACTGCTACGAGCGATTTGATTTCTGCTGCAAATCCTTTTTAACATATTTCTTTTTTACTTTCGTTGGAAAGTTTGGCATGCTCCCAATTAAGCAAGAAACTTTTTTTGGCACTAAATGGACCTCGAATCTGGAAATCTATTTTTCAATTTTACTTTGTATTTGGAAAAGGACTAACGAATGCACGTTATGTAATATTGCAAGTTTAAACTGCTCAAAATGAATCTTACACGGTCAAAATTTCCCTAACTTTGAAACTAGATAAATTCTGACTGTTTAATGCGTTATCTAGTCCAATCCTTTTTCTAACAACCCGTGTTTTCAGCGAAATTTACGACACTTTCTATAGGGTGGAAAATGAAAAAATGTAAATTTTGTGAAAGTTGGACCGCCCCCTGTTGAACAAAAAAGCTTTTGTGAATATTTCAACATGAAAGGCATAACGATAGTCCTCATATCTCGAATCGAATTTCGAATCTTTCGCTTATATTATTTATTTACAGGGTGATCTAAAAAAATATATTTTTGGTCTTGCAAAAATGTGTAGAGTATAAAAAATTACCCAAATCATAACTGCCCCCAAATCTGAGATTCTGCCAGACTTATTTCAAATACATACTTAATCCATTTAGGCACGCAGTCCGATAAATTTAAAAGTTGGCTTAAGTTGACTATGAATTCTAGGTTCAACATAAGCTCTATATTTTGAAAATCCATCATAGAGAAAAAATGTTGAGTTTCGAAAAAGCGGATTTTTTCAGTTCACTCTGTAGATGAAAGGGATGGGCAAAAAATTAAAAAACTGTTTAAGTCACTCTTTACCCTTTTAGTGGAACCTAAATAAACGTTTTCTTGTTCAACTGAGGGCAAGCTTTCAGGGATTTTTCACATCCTTTCAGGTAATTGATTTTCTGATGGAAAATTTACGTTTTTGGCAGTTCAGGATGAATCTTTAGTGAAAAAGTTCACAATGCTTTGTTGCAAGCGTTGCCCTCATTGAGTCATTTTGGCATTTGGCAGTTTAAATATTCAAGCATTCCTCAGCTACATTTTCTATTTAATTTTCGGTTAATAACTGCAACTGTTGCTCATACAGGTTTTTTGGAAATGAGTCCCACTTATTCTTCACTAATTGGAAAAATGATAAATATTTGCATTAAACCCAAAAATGAGCACCTCCATTTCTAATAGTATGAAATATGCAGATTCTTCTTTCATTTCTGGAAGAGTCTTTCATACATGTAACCAGTGACATTTTTGAGAGCAAAATCCAATCTAAACCCTCTTTTCAACACTTGTTAATGACTTTCCCACCATTCCTCAAAAGACCTTCATTACCATTAAAAAGGAATGTTT